ATTCAAAATTTAATAAAGGGTATGCAATGAAAAGTCACCTTGTATACAGAGCTACAGACATAGAAAATATTCCAGAGGAAAAAAAAAAAAAAAAAAGAAAAGAAAGAAAAACAAACTGTCAGTTTCCTATGCAATCTTAAAAAGGTATTTTATAGATATATCATTTTGTATTAATCTCGGCCCCTCCCCCACAGTATACATCCAAGAGATCCATTAGTGTCAAAGAATACCATTCTCCTCATCACAAACTCAAGTTCTTTAAGCCAAACTTATTTAAACCTAAAAATTAAAATATAAATTATGACTTTTTTTGGAGAAAAGTCCTAAGGTCAAGGTCTCCATAGATGAATAGGACCACCAATTTTTACAAGGGTTTTACATAAGAATATAAAACTTTCAATTTCTAAAATAGAAATATCCAATTTCTTCTTTGTTTCCACCTGACTTTGTTTCCTACATAAAAATTTCAGGGTTTGGGCTGGGGATGTGGCTCAAGCGGTAGCACACTCGCCTGGCATGTGCGAGGCACTGGGTTCAATCCTCAACACCACATAAAGATAAAGATATTGTGTTCACCTAAAACTAAATATTTATTAAAAAATTCAGGGTTTAGTTGGCATGGTAACAGGAAACAAACACATTAACTTTAGGTATACATACACATATATGCCTAAATGTATATTTACATGTATATATATCTAATGGTGTTCTGAGGTCAAACAACTATCTTGAATTATCTTGCAAAAACTAGACCTTGCACTCAGTACTGTGATGAAATAATTCATGCAAGATTTGCTGGTATCTTCTTCATAGCCACTGCATTTTAGGATAAAAAGAAAATAATTTCTAACTCTGCAGATGAAGAATCTTTAGTATCAACCGATAATGAGATTGGGGAAGATACTACTTGACATTAGCTAAGAGTATCACAGACAGACCAAGAAGTCAAAATTTCTAATTTCTTCCCATTGAAAATACTGGTTATGAGCCAGGTACAGAGGCACATGGCTATAATTCCAGCACCTCAGGAGGTTGAGGCAAGAGGATTCCAAATTCGAGGCCAGTTTTGACATATTAGTGACACATCCTGCCTAAAATTTAAAAAGTATTTATTTAGAATGTAACTCAGTAGTAAAGCATCCCTGGGTCCAAGCCCCAATTAAAAAAATTAATAAACACACACACACACACACACACACACACGATATTAAGCATATTAATCTTATAAAAGTAGTAACACCGGCAGTTGAACAAGGATTTCTCAACTTCGGCGCTACTGACTTTTGAGCTAGATAATTCTTCGATGTAGGAGGCTGTTCGTTACAAATTGTTCAGCAGTGGCCCTAGTCTCTATCCACTAGCTGCCAGAATGGCACACCTCCCCACTCAAACTCATGCAATGGAATTTGCCCTTTAGTGGAAAATTCCTTTCATACATGATTTATCTATTTCAAGATAGAAGACTCTCCCATGTTCCAAGTCTTCATTAGGTACCAGACAAAAAAACAAACCAGAATAGATGTTGCCCAAGCCCTTGTAGGGCTTATAGCCTTCACAGGGAGATCAACAGAAAGTTATCAAAAGGAGAGAAACATCACACACTTCACTGAGAATGCATAAGGATGCATTCTTAAGAAAAGATGGGCACAATCAAAACATTTTATGGAAGAATGCATCCCTGTTTCTGAGCTTTCTATCTTGTTCTCTCACCTTAGATTGAATACCCAAATTCTAACTTCAGGTAATTTTTGTATTTCATTTTAATGAATGTCACAGGTTAAAAAATTTCTTCTGCAAAAAGGAGATCTAAATAGAAGTAGTACATGAGTTTTACAACTAGTTCTCAATCCCAATCAAAATTACTGAAATTTAAGATAGTAAAATTTCACACTCCCTAATTTAAAAGTATTAATTTAAAAAAAATGGGTTTAAAACACAGCAAACCTGTGGAATGTGACAGACATCATTATCCAAAATACATGTATGAAGACACGAATTGGGTGTCAACCTACTTTATATACAGAGATATCTGTATAAATATTAAAAACCATGTTATACTTCCGATTCAATTTCAATACCACAAGTGCATTTACCTTTTTCTTACTTGTAGTTTCTTTCTTCAACATTGAGAAACCTAATTCTCACTGTCTACATGTAATTTATTTGATTCCCTTCTTTCCACTTGTTTCTCTCTTACCTCTCATTAGTAACCAGTATGTTTAGTTTCTGGTGTATCCTTATCGGGCTTCTTTTCCACTATTAAGCATGTATTCTTAGATCTCATTTTTCTTATATAAAGAGTACGACACTACAAAAGTTCTTTTACTTTTTCTTCATTTAATAATATATCATGGAAACCACTATACACCCAGTCACAGATATTACTCAGTAATATCTACATAGTATTCCACTATATGGCTGTACCATAGTTTATTCAACCATTTACGTAACCTAACTATATGGGCATTTATGTTCTTTATAATACATTGCAAATTAAACAATGCTAATTGCTCACATTTCTGTGTTACTGGAGGCATGTTCAGAATTGATTTCTAGAAGAATCAAAGATTACATGCATATGCAGTTTATGATGATCACCAAATTTGCCTCCAGAATACTGGCAACAATTTGCATTCCAACCACCAAAGCATGAGGATATCCGTTTCCCCACAGCCTTTTCAACAAATGTGTTGTTATATGTTTGAAATTCTGTCAGTCAGACAATCTTTCTTTCTTAAGTGCAAATTTTAGCTACATGGTTCATCCAGTGCCTATCTGATAAAGGAGAAAACAACAAAATAAACAAAAAGCAGTAGAAATGGCAATAAACATAATACTACTATAAATTTGATTGACTAAATTAGTGGTAAGATAAAGGTTTGACAATGCTGCCACTAGTGCCCTTATCATCTACAAACCACCTACCTGCTGCAAGCATTCTCTCAGTATTTGATTTGATTGGGTCTATATAATACTAATGCCTAGGTGAAGTTAAAAGAAATGCTGGTCTCCCAAAGATTCCAGCAGTCCTCTCCCAAGGACAGAGCAAAGCCTTGAGCTCTAAATACTATTTTAATATTTAGTAAACGTTTATAAAAAGTAAAAATAGTACCTTCTGTCCAGAAACGAGAGGTGAGGTAACCTTCCTTTTAACTATCCTCTCCACAAACAACTACAGAAGATCTATTTATGCATATGCACACAACTATTTTTCTGTATTTGTCATAAATATCACCATGTGTACTAATTTCCTCTGGTCTTAGTGCAACACTATAAAGTTCATGTTAGCCTTAGTTCATGGCCTTCCCTGTAATAATTTCACAGCCACACAGGAAAAAACAAACCTACCTCCAAAACTACTTTTAAAGTAATCCACAAAAGAGAAGGTTCTCACTAGTCCATCAAGTCAATCTGGCTAAGTACATTCAGACTAGGCAATGTACCATTAAGCATTATACTGTTCAAAACTTACTAACATGGTGCTGGGGTTGTGGCTCAGTGGTAGAGGGCTTGCCTATCATGTGTGAGACACTGTGTTCGAGTCTCAGCACCACATATAAGCAAATAAATAAAGTTCCATCAATAAATAATAAAAAATATTTTTAAGTGCATTTGATTTCAATACAGAAAAATGTCTAAGATTTTAAAACAAAACAACAACAACAAAACTAATAACATGCATTCAAAGGTAATGCCAAATTTTCCAGATGAGCATTCTAACTTGATTATTCTTAAGGTAACAGTTACCCACCCATGTGAATTAGATCATTTCAATAATCTGAATAAAACTATTGTTATAAAAGCTGAATAATTACTTGAATCAAGGTCTTTGGCTCACCTATACATTTGAGAGCTTTGCCTATATTCTACCTATGAAAGCCCAGATAGGGTGGTCTAAAATTTCTAGTTTTAATGTTCCTTTAGCACTGTCTCACTTCTTCCAAATACATGTGTCAAAAGCCAAAGCAACAACATTTCAGCTTCCTGTTTTTACAGATGGGTGTTAACTGTTGCATTTATTTTTGTGATTGTTCCAAATATCACATGAAAATGACAGCAGTGAAAGCTCTGAAAAATGGAAGACTGTGCACATTATGTAAGGAGGACATCACAAAGATTAACTGAACTGCCAACTGTGCCAAAAATTTTTAATCAATGTTTAAAATATTGGAATTAGATAACCTGCACACTAAAAGACATGTTAAATATCTTGTCATTCTTATTTTGAAGCTTCATCAGTTTTATCTTAAAGAGTAACCATATAGATGTAAAAGTGCTTCCAAAAACATTAATTTCTGATTTAAGTGTAAAATATTAAAGATTAAATTTATTGAATAACTGCACATACTATATTCTAGTGGCCTATACAAATTACTCCATATAAATTACTAATTTATTATTTTGAGGGTTTTTTTAACACTATGATAATCATTTAATAAATAATTCTTGCAGATAAACCTTTATGTTGAATAAAGCAAATTTTATAAAACCATGGTTTAAATTTAGCTTCTTTTACTTACTTCTGTGCTCCCTGAGACAACAGCTTTGTCCACATTCACTAACAATGGTTCTTCCACCTGGCACACTCCCAGGGACCACTCCACACAACGACGATGAGCCCAACAAGTGCCTCAAATGTGAAAAGTGAAAAGGAGAAAAAAGAATAAACATCAAAAATATTAATGCAAATAAAGGCCTAAAATGTCAAAGTCCTCTCTGCTGGATAAGCACATAATGGTAGCGTGTACCACCCATCCAACAGTCCTTCTCAGATCATGCCCCAGTCTGCGAGCTGCAGCACCAACGTCAACTTGGGGACTTGTTAGAAATGCACAATCTCAGGCAACATCTGAGAACAACTGAATCAGAAGTTCTTGCGGTACAGCCCAGTAATCTGAGATGAAATGAAGTTAGTTTTTATTCATTATATTTGAATATTACTGTTTTATTTGGTATCTTAATATAAAAACAAAAGGAACATTATTTAATATCTTATTGATGACAAAGGGGATGTATAAAAAATTAACATTCGAACAACACATTCCACTTGATCCCAAGCAAGAGCACCCACCACTCATCAGTAACAGCTCAGTCTCTAAATTCTCTATCACACAGCAATTGAACCACTATCAATGGATTTGTAGTTCAAGCATAGAATGAGATTTACTTAAAATTCCAACACTCCATATCATGAGTATGAGCTCATTATACTGTTTATTATAAGAGAATATATGTGGCTAAAAATCTACTGTCTTCCATCCCGACAGGAAAGTGCTATACTCCCCCAAGTTTTCACACACTCCTTTAAAATTTTCTTTCCTCAATTTTCACATAACCATGGGGCTGCTATACACACAACAGTATATAAATATTTATAAAAGCATCCTGTCCAGTGTTAACTCTGCAGACTTTAAATAAATTAGGTAATCATAATTTACCTAATCAGATATGTTTAATGACATTTTTATAATATGACCCTGATAACTTCTAGAGAATAAGTTGATAATGCCCTAAAATTTCAGTGCTTCCAGAAACAAGAAGCAGCTGTTACTGAAGAGAAGCCCCTACCTGTAGGATCAAATAAGGCTTGGACATCAATGGCATCTGGAAGGCCAACCAGACTGAGTTCATCCCACAATTTACCGGCCTGATCATCTGAAGCTGTCTGGGTGCTTACACTTACACAAGACACTGTACTCTGAGGAGAAGATCGCTCTCTGAAAATAAAGTGAAATAAGATAAATAGCTTCGAAAGTGATAAGAAGTAGAAAATTGTTTCATTTTATAACAATTTGAGTACAATGTACTGCCAAATAAATTTTAATTTATTAGATATAAACTGTCATAAAACAATTTTTAGAATTCAATTATTATTCAGAGTATAATATTAAAATGGTGCCATATTATTTCATGTAAGCAACTAAGAGTTTTCAGATACATAAGAATTAAAATTACAGTTGTAAATTTATTTTTCCATTCTCTTAAAAAAAAAAAAAAGACTCTAGTCAGGAACAATGTTTTTAGTACATACAATGACTATTCCCTTTGTCCTTACTTAAATGCTTACAAAACATAACTTGAGAAAACTTTAATGTGCTTTAAGTTAGAGAACTGCCACAGAAGAGGTAGCAGTTCATTTCAAGTAAAGAAAGGTTATTTTCCAGGGAAAACACAGCGTTAAAAGGGAGGTGGAAGTGGAAGTGGGTGGAACACGTCAGCTGTAGCGTCTTATGGTCGCCTCAACAAATCTCAACAGCTGGCCCGTGGCGTGATGTTGCAAGTAGTCTCAATCAAGACTGCACCTCACAAACCAGAATTCAGAGCAAAAACAAAATAGCTACTAAAGGCATAAGAAAGACAGTATAGCAGCTAACACTACAGTATAAAAAATGAATGCCAAATGCTGAATAAATGATAACATACAAGAGTTTTCAGGCTTTTAAGCCCTAATACTTTATTATTTAAGAGCATTCAATAAATAAAGATGGTTATTATGTTCAGCATTAAATATGTTAAGTCAGATGACTGCCACTGAAACTTAAAATCTTCTCCTAATATCATAGTATTTTAACCTGATGATAATTCTGGATTAAATCACTATTGAATATAGATCATAACTCACTGCACTTCTGTATGCTGGATATTTATCATGATTCCTATTAAGAGAAAATCAGCACAATGACCAGGGTACTAAACTTTTTTATACCTGGAATCATTGAAAGAAAAAAAGTATTAACATATTTCAATAAGTACATTTAAATATCAAACCATATAAAATAACCAGTAACTTTATGTTTAGCATTAGAAATGCATAAAGAGGTTCAGCATGCTATGCTAACTTAAATTCTCATTTTTATAAATGCCCACAGTAAAATGAGAACAAATACTTTTCTACACATATAATCTTCATTCCTGTAAATATATTCATTACTAATCATTGTTATTTTGTTGGGAGAAATAAAGACTAACAGGTCATCTATAAATACTATTATTTTAGCATTTTTTGCACTAGCATTTGATGGGAAACATGGTGTAGAAACCAATGGAATGACTCATCAGTCTATTACTAATCAGTTCCTAACTAGAAGCTTGGTGAAATTCAACCATCAGGTTTTGAGACTAGTTTATGTATATACCATATCAGATGCCAATGTCAATCCTACAGATGGTAGCAGCTCAGCTTAGGAAAGAGTATCAAGAGAAGTCAGCTGAAATACATACCCATAAAATTTCAAGTTATAAAGCAGAAAAAAAAAAGGCAAGAACATTTGATTATATATTCTTATATTTAGTGCAAACAAGAAGAAAAATCCATTTAAAAAAACTTCCTGTCAATTTTTGTAAATTAATTAGGTGTTCATACTTCATTAGTAATACATTTTGCAAATATTTAAAATCATTACTAAAATAAATTCGCTGTCTACCCCCATATGACTGCTGAATTTTCTAAGTGGACTTCATTACAGGCTTTTCATCATTAATTAACCAACTGGATAAGCACTAAATATATATAACAGCTTTTCAGTAAGGCCAGGCTATTTTGCAAATATAAATTATCTGAGCTCATAAAATTTTTCAATAAAAATTAGCTTCATTTGTAAAATAAGTAAATAAATGAAGCCCAGTTCTATTTCCCAGGACTGGGTTTTGTCTAATTGCCATTATTAAAGACGGAACATGAGAATATAAGATATACCCTGGTTCAATTCATCGAATGTGCTAATTACGGATAGACATTGTAAGTTTGCTGGACTTTTGATATATTTTATTAATATGTAAGCACTCAACTAATAACAAAAGATAAAATACCTATATATGATTTAATTACAGCCTTAGAAATATGAGGAGTCTCCAAATACAGTACTTCCAGAGCTTCCTTAAACTGTTCTACCTTAAATTCTTTAAAGATTGTTTCTGTTATTGTTTCAATTCCTGCTTCAAGTATTCAAGGCTTTGGCAGCAGTTCAAAAACAATGAGCCAATCAAGGAAGAACAGCACAACAGTGCTTTAGTACTTAAATTTGGAGATAAGCCAGACAGCACTTGGGTGATTACATCATCAACCTCAAGGAATAGAGCTGGTTAGCCTTCCAAAAGAATATTTATTAATCAACTACAGAAACTTCTCTCCTAACCAGCAAAGCCAAGTCCATATATTAAGAGAGCCTTTAAAAACAACCACACAAAATATTTAAAAAGCATATCAGACAAGAATTTTAGGTGATTGCAATGTACCCATGAACAGACATACCTATGTAATTATACAAATACTTATTTTTTTTTAAATATCTTCTGTATCTGTAGAAAGAGTACTCTAAACATATAATTACAGAAGAAAAAAGGGGGAAAGAAAGGGAGAGAACTGTATTATGCTGAGAATTTATAGGGCAGCTCAATATTCTCTGACACAAATACACTTATAAATTAGATAAATTAATTAAATGAGAGAATGAAAAATGAATGACACAGAAGACATAAACAGTGACAATCTGACTTTGCTATCATGTTAAACGCTTACCAAAAAAGGTTTATTTAGAGAAGAAAAGCAGGACCACACTGATGTATTGTCTTCTTGCATTTACAAATTCCATGAACTCCCTTCAGCCTATGTTATGTTCTCTAAAAGTTCCTTCCAAAAGTTAACTTTCGTCATTATACTGATTTAGTTGTCATACAATTAAGAAAACAGATTTTAAAAAAAAGAAAGAAAGAAAGAAAGAAAGAAAGAAATTTCAAGGAAAGGACTGTTTTCTGGGTTAATGGTGAGTCATTAAGTTTCTTCAGAAATGTGGGAAACGGGAGGAAATCTTTAATAGTGGTTCAACCCCATCTGTAAACTTAAAAACATCACACTAAAAACAGTTTTATTCCGTCCCAACAATTTAAATTCAAAACTGCTCACTTTCTCGGTCCTCTCTGTCGACGTGGAGCTGAATTTTGTATTTTCTCATAGGTCCCACTGCTGTTGTCATCAATGTCCCTGTTGGAAGTCTGGTTTTTCCATGGCAAGATAAATCCAGGTGTTACTCTGAATTGCTTTAAATCTCCTTGTCCTAAGGAACTTTTTTCCCCACAATAACAAAAAGCACAGAGTTGTTCACTGGTAAAAATGAAAAATGAAAAGAGACAGAAAAGAGAAAAGCAGCTTTACTCAACAATTCTTAAGTAACATACAACCAGATACTGGTGCTTCAAAATTATATCTTCAGTGCAAGCTAGACTTTTTTCAACTTATTTTCTATAGTCTATTCTATGATTATACCATAAGAACAATTAAGTTTAATAATGATCATACCTATGAAATTCTACTTTTCTATAGCATGATTTTCCCCCCTTTCCTGTGGTGCTAGGGATAGAGTCCAGTGCTATACTCCTAAACCACCATGATTTTTCTAAAACTAGTGAACATACCAAAATCAAAAAATTCTAGGGCTAGGATTGTGGCTCAGTGGTAGAGTTTTTGCCTAGCATGTGTGAGGTACTGGGTTTAATTTTCAGCACCACATAGAAGTAAATTAAAGTCCAGTGACAACTAAAATATATATATTTAAATATAAATATATTTATAAATAAATATATATGTATATATTTAAATTCTAATTTATATTTACGAAAATGATCTGTAAAAAACAAACATTTGACCAGGGCTGGGGTTGTGACTCAGTGGCAGAGTGCTTGCCTCATACAGGTAAGGCACTGGGTTCAATCCTTGCATCACATAAAAATCAATAAATGAAATAAAATATTGTGTCCATGTAAAACTAAAAAAAAAAATTTTTAAATCTGACTAAAGAAAAGCAGCACCACATATAAATAAATGAATAAAATAAAGGTCCACCAACATCTAAAAAAATAAATAACAAATAAATAGTGCACGAATGTTAGTTTATCAATTATAACAAATGAACCACACTAATGCACAATGTTAACTAAACTGTGGGGGTTGGAGATGTGGTGATGGAAACACTGTTCAATTATTCTGTAAATCTAAAACGGTTCTAAAATTTAAAGTCTACTAACTTTCAAAAAGAAGAGATTAAAAAGTTAAAAAGACGAGCAGCAGATATATCTCAAGTGATAGAGTGACTGCCTAACATGTACAGGGTCCAGGGTTCTATTCTCCAGCAAACCACTCCCGCCCCAAAGGAAGGACAAAAAAACAATACATACTATAGAATACAGACATAATAAATAACCTTAGAAATAACAAAATTTAAACATATGTCTCCTCTTAGACATATTTTCTCTTTATACTGCTTCTACAACCGGATCTTTCTTCTCAGGCATTAAAAGTCTCCAACTATCACCCCTGCAGTAGCTACCCCATTAACTTTCATAACATTTTGCATTAACAGGGAATAGGAAAAAAATCTAGTTTTTTTAAATATTATATTCAATTCTGTTTGCAACGAAGAGTTTGCTCTTTTCAAGCATATTAAAACAATCTGAATATAGAGTACGTATTAGCCATAAATAAAGACATGGTATATTCAAAAATGACAAATTTTACAGACAATATTCTCTGAAAATAATGCAATAAAACTAGAAATGTGCAACAGATGACTTAAAATTTTCTAAACATTGGTAAACTAGAAAATATATTGCTAAGAACCCTTCAGTTACTTACTGTAAAAATTTGTGATGGAGATAAAGTTGAAACTAAAGGGAAACTTAAAATTTACATAAATTATCAGTAGATTCAAGTTTAGATATTAGTAAGCTAAAGTTTTCAACTACAGTCAGGGGGAAAAAATAAATGAAGACACTGATAGAACATTAATCAAAAGAAGACAAGAAACGAAAAGGAAAATAACAGAATCAGTGATAGAGAAGATCAACAAAATCAAAAGCTAATTCTTCAAAAATATCTCTGGGGGAAAGAAAGCAGGCAAAATGCAAACAAAATACAGAGTAAAGGAGAGAAATCAGTATATATGCAACAAACAGTAAAATTTTACTTTTACTCTCACTATTTTTTCAACCACTTCTTTTCAACACAGTTGAAAGTCCTAGAAGTCCTAGCTAGAGTGATGAAATAAGAGAAAAAAAATACAATTTTCTCTAATAGGAAACATGTAAATTTTTAAGAAATTTTTAAGTTATCTGTCGCACATATCTGTCTCTATTTGCTGATGTGATCTTATGCATGTACAGAAAACCCTGAAGATGCCACCAAAAAATGCTAGACGAAAAAAAATGAATTCATTAAAGTTTCAGGATATGAAATCAACATTAAAAAATAGTATTTCTACATATTAAAACTAAGCTAACCAAAAGTTAGAGAACAATCTCATTTAACACTAGCAACAAATTTTTTTTTTAATACTTCAGTGTAAATTTAGCTAAGGCAATAAGAGACCTGTATCCTGGTAACTATAAAACACTGATATAAGAAACTGAAGAAAAACACAAATAAATAGAAAGTTACTTCATGTTCAGGGACTGGAAGAATACTGTGAAAATGTCCTTAATACCCAAAATAACCCAAAGATTCAATGAAGATCCTATCAAAATTTCAATGTCCAAAAAAAATCCAATGTCATTTTTCACAGAAATAGAAAAAACAATACTTAAATTTGTATGGAACCACAAAAGACCATAAATAGCCAAAATTAGCTGGAGTAAAAAGAACAAAGCTAAAGCATCACACTCTCTTGACTTCAAAACATATTACAAAATGATTATATATCAAAGCAGCATGACACTGGTATAAAAAGACACAAAAACTGATGGAATAGGAAAGACATTACAGAAATAAGCCCACACATCTTTTGTCAAAGATGCCAAGAACACACAATGGCAAAATAATCGCCTCTTCAATAAATGGTGCTGGGAAAACTGGCTATCCACATACAGAAGAATGACCCTTACTCACACCAAATACAAAAACCAACTCCAAACGGGTTAATGACTGAACTATAAGACCTGAAAGTGTTTGTTTTTTTGCTTGTTTAAATATTTTTTTTAGTTGCAGTTGGACACAATACCTTTATTTTATTTATTTATTTTTATGTGGAGCTGAGAATTGAACCCAGAGCCTCACACGTGCTAGGCAAGCACTCTATCGCTGAGCCACAACCCTAGCCCCAAGTGTTTGGCTTTTAAGACATTTAAACCTTACTGGGGGAGAAGGAACTGCAGTATAATCAACACTTTTACACCCTTTACCTGGATTCACATAATAGTATAATAAGCAGGGGGTAAGGAGGTCTCTCTGGGAGATAAATCATGTGATAGAGAGCAAAGCAAGCTCAAAGACCCTCATACAGAAACCTGATTGGTGTGTTCAGGAGCAGCAAAGATAGTGTGAAAAAGCACAGTGACAAAGAAAGTCTCAGAGACAGCCAGGGGCAGCTCATGCCTTGGAAAAATAGCAAGGATATGAAATGTTAAATATAGTTTAAGTATTTAATTTCAATCCAACAGCATAATATAATAGGGGGAGAAATTACTTACATTTTAGAATAATTTTTGCAACTTTGCTAAGAAAAAAAATGGAGGTAAAAAAAGTTGAAAGGTAAAGAGAATTAGATTATTTAATCTTTAAGATTGAAAGAAAGAAGAGAAGCAGGGAAGGAGAGGTGGTTTAAAAGGCTACAGCTTCCCAAGGGCAACAATGGTTTCAACCAAGATGACAGACAAGATAGTAAGAAGCTGTGCTGAGCCACAGGATTTAATGGTTTGGATTATCAGGTATGAGAAAAAAGAGAAATTGAGGATTAACTGTCCTAAGTTAACTGAGCATACATTGGTATTGTTTACTGAAATGGGGAAGCCCAGGGAAGAAGATCATCTGAGGCAGAGGTAGAGAGAGCAGGCATACTTTGGGACTGTTAAAAATGAGGTATCTAACACACCTCCAGATGCAGATGATGAGCAGACCAGCGGACAAGGAAATCTGGAGTGGAATTAGAAATAAAAATGGGGGGCTCTTAAGGATACACAAGATTCATAGCTGTGAAACTGGAGGTGCTTTCCAGCGCGTGAAGAAAACCAGAAAGCAGGCAAGGTGTTGCCTACTTTAAAGCTGAACTATATACCAGTAAGTGGTAAGGTCCTATATTTCTTTTTTGAAAGAATGGGGAGAGGGTAAGGGAAAAGAACATACTCAAGTTTACAATTAAGTATCAAAAATCAGTTCTTATGCTAAATACTCACAGCTATCTCTTTGGCCAGGAATAGCATATTGCTAACTGTCTATGTTCACGTGGGGTGAACAGAGCAACACCCTCATGTATTCCCCAATCTATAATCCCCAAACTCCATAGCCATCCTCCATCCCAACTACAGAGGTATTGGCCTTAAATTTAAAGCTACTAAACAATAAAACTCCATCAAGATTAACATCTCAAATCCTTCCTCCCTGAATTTTTACAATCCAGCTCTTTTGATTCTCTAACCTGATTTTGGCTTCTACACCAACAGAGACGAGGGAATTTGCAGAGTCCTCAGACATGGATCGCTGAAGAGCTGAGGCTGGCTGCTTGCTGCTATCCACTTCTGCTTCAGCATCCTCTTCTGCAGACTGTTCTTTGACTTCTGCTTCACAGAAAACAAGAGGTAAAAAGAGTCATTTTTATGTTTACATCAATCATTGGTGAATTTATCTACAACACATCTGTGTTAATGGAAAAAAATCAAACAACAAATGACAATACTTCACTGATAAAGAAAAAGTTCACATATAAAATTATTGCTATTGTTTATATCTGTTCTCTTCAGCAAAAGGATAATCAAAAAATTTACACTTTAACAGTCATAAATTTCATAAAAGGTTTCATCCTTGGCTTATAAAAAGACTTCTATAAACAAAGTATTACTTTTCCTTGTGCCCACAGTAAAAATAGACTCAGAAGTTTCATCTTAGTAATATTATCATTATATTCAGGATTATAGCAGTTGATCTTCAGAACATAAGAATTTCAGTGTGACTCATTTTGAAGTTTTCATGTTTTATGAAGTGAGATTCTCATTAATTTAAAACAATCATGGATTCTAATTATTAGCCATTCTAACAGTTAAATATTTGAAAAGAACACACCTTGATTATATTGTTTTTCAATTCTACTCAGGACTTTAACCCCAAATACCTCGTACTTCCTTTCTCAGGAGGCAACCTAACTGCTGAGAGGATTTTCAAACACCTTCACCACTAACATCATTCATCTCTTTAAATAAAAATCATATGCCCATTCTGGCTTTCTTGTGTATTACCAGAATAAAGAAACACTGCATCTCCACCAATGATCCCAAGGCACTTCCACACTCTTGGTTATAAGCCTTCTCTTCTAACTCCAAATTTGTGTATACCTTTCCATACCAACCTCACATGCCTGCAAACAGTCAAGGAAATCATCAAGTCCTTTCAGCTGCTCCTGTTGGCACCAACTTCATGAAATGCCCTGTGGAGTGCCTGAGCTCCCTCACCTTCCCTTCACCTCCTCCTCAGCAGCTGTTCTCACCAACTCCACCAGGGGCCACGTACAAGCCTTCAAATTCCTAAAACCTCATTTCACACAAGGACTAAGGTCTGCATCTGTAGCACCCCCTCCTCTCTGACATTCCCCAACACATGGGACCTGCACAGCAGACATACATAGCAGCTTGGATGCTAATTTTCACATCAAACTTGATCTTTCATCTCTCATTTCAGAACTTCAATTTGATGTCCCTATTTCGGGACTATCTTCTAAATTCAAAATGTATTTTAGGGGAAGTATTTTGGGAAAAGAAATTTGATAAATATTAATTTTACAGTTAGAAAAACTACAAATAATTATAAATTCTGTCAAGTAAAATTAATAATTACATGAGGCATCAAACAGATGGTTTTGGTTTTCAGTGTTAAAATAATATTTTCCCTTTTTAAATTAAAACTGGAAAGTTTATTACATATTGCTTGTAAGGCACATCAACCAAGGTGTCCTGTCTACCCCTAGAAACAAAATTGATATAAGTACCCAGAATCAAATCTACAAACACATATTTGTATGGGGGAGGACACTAATTTTACTACATTAAAAATCAAAATTTATATATAAAAAAAGACACCATGAGCAAAATGAATCCATCCCAGATGAAAGGAAATCCATGTAATTTATTTTCACAAAAAGATACTCAAATTCAGAATATGTCAAGGCTTTACAGATGAACAAGATAAAGCACATAACTGTAGAAAATAGACAAGGGACAAACTCCATATTCTCCTTCCTCAGTAGTACTCAATTTTAGGACAGCACATATCTGACTCAGCCAATACTCTTTGCAACAAATCTTGGCAAGTTCTCACCCACAGAGTATGACCAGAAGTGACTGCCACTTCTTCTCCATCACCTAAAAGGAAGTGACCTGCTCTGAGCAAAATTATGTTACCCTTTCCTATGGACTGGAATGGACATGACAGCCACCCAGTTGCAGTACTGAAAATAAATCAATGCTCCAGAGGATGGCAAAAAAAAAAAAAAAAAAAAACAAGAAAGAAAGAAAGTTTAGTCCAGAAACAAGCCACATGGAACAAAGCTGCCTCAACAGCATGGATTCCTGCTACAGAAATATTACACAAGAGCAAAATGGGTTTTATAAGCCACAGGTATATTTTGAATTCTCTGGCATAGCTGTTTAATTTCTGTCCTAATTAATACAGAAAGTGGTATCAGAAGTGTCATGACCAAAACTAATACTAAGTGGTTTAATAATCAGGTCATGAGTTACTGATACTGCAGTTTGAAAATCAACAGATCTTTTTCATGCAGTGTCCATATCTGACATAACTGCAACCCACAATAACTTGGAAAACAGACTATGCCTACAAGGCCTGTCACTCTAGGGAAATTATCTGGAAAGACCCAGAGGTCACTCTGTGTGGCCTGTTCTCTAGGGATCTATAAGAAGACAGAAAGGATTCCAGTTCTGCTAGAGATTCACTCTGCCTGTTACATTTGAAGGACTACAAAATGGTATGTGTAAAACAGAGGTCCAACACACATATGGGCACACTCTTGTTTGCACTATTCTTAATATCAACAAGAAAGGTAAGAAAGAAACGAGGGCTGGCATTGTGGCTCAGTGATAGAGCGCTCACCTAGCATGTGTGAGGCACTGGGTTTGATCATCAGCACCACATAAAAAAATAAATAAGTAAAATAACAGTATTGTATCCATCTACAACTAAAAAAAATTTTTTTTTAAAGAAAGAAAGGAGAAATATAGAGTAAGATGGTGCTTCAGAGGCTCACAGATAATGAGCCAAGTGGAACGGTCTCGTGTCATTACATTTCCTATGAACATTTTTTCCTCTAAAAGACAGCTCCATTTATACCCTAACCCAAACTGTCCTGTCTGCTACTTGTTAATATGCTGCTATTTACCACTTATAATATCTAATAGAAAATTTTCTTCTCCTGGTAAACTGTATTACAGTTATTATGTTTATCCCCTCACCCAAAAGGAAATACATAGCACTTCCAGTGTTTTGAGAGAGGTTCTACAGCTTAAAACAAGGAAAAACAAGCAGAACAGTGTTTGTGTCTATCCACCTTTCCTTTTCTCTATAACAGAAGGAAATGGGAAGGCTAAACACAAATACTAATGGTAGATTAACAGGTTTTCAGGTTAACACCTTTTGAAAGCAGGTTTCCTCCATTTCAGAGGGGGAAAAAAACAATTTAGACTCTAAAGAAATTATTTATTTGATTATTTATGTTTAAGAAATGTGATCAGGACCAGTTCTGAACCACAAAGCCTGGCTTTGAGAGTTCAACCTTCTCTTTCCTTCTTTATTAGCTATCAGTTCTGCTAATGAGCATAATAACTTGGATATACTAAACAGTTGGGATTGATGAGTTTGGTTTTATTTTTGGTCTGAATTTTTCTGTTTTGACTTTTTTGTTCTTTAATGAATAAAAAGGAATCTTCTGGGGCTGGAGTTGTGGCTCAGTGGTAGAGTGCTTTCCTCACATGCATGAGGCACTGGGTTCGATCCTCAGCACCACATAAAAATAAATAAAAATACTGTATCCACCTACAAAAATTATTATTTTGTTATAAAAAGGAATCTTGTAACTCCTTCCTTGGGAGTAGTACTTCCAAAACAGAAACAATAAAAGATCTTCCTAAATAAATGAATTATATGTAATAACAGAAACTATTTTTTTAACTATCACTCTGAATTTGGCAGAATACATTAGATTCTGCTGTCAAAGTTAAAGCAGAATAACTAGAGATTATGACTCTTTCCCTTTTCCCCAGCCCTAGTCTTCAAAAGATTGCCAGAGTCTGGCAGGAAAATGTCTGATGGAGTTGCTCTGGCTGAAAATGACATCGGATAAAGATCCTACCAGGGATGTCATCCGGACATGTTCCAGATGAATGTGACCCAGTGATAACCAATGGGGTATTGCTCACTCAAAGCTGTTCAATCAATAAAATAGTCTAGGCTGGGGCTGGGGTTATAGCTCATTAGTAGAATACTTGCCTCACATGCATGAGGCACTGCACCACATAAAAATAAATAGAGATACTGTGTCCATCTGCAACTAAAAAAAAAATTTTTTTTTTTTTAAATAGTCCGGGCGGGCTGGGTTCCTTAATCACTTTACAAATTTTTTGCCTTTCTATTTATTCAACTTGCCTGCAACTCAAACTTATGGAAATCGAAAAAGAGACCTTTTAACATTTAGATTTTTTTTCAGCATATTTTTCTTTGGTATAAAATCCTCAATGAATTTTTCATTTTATACTTTTAAACTGACCTAAATACAAGCAATGCTACTTGGTCAACAAAATGTTCCTAAGGCAGAAAGCAAGGCTGAGCGGGTGGTGAAGGGGATGACTGTGTCCCCAGTAGATGGCGCACGTGCAAGGATAACTACGCTACTAAAGAATCAAAAATAGGGAAGTTGAAGTTTCTAAGAGAACTTAACATGATCTGTGCACTTTATTAAATGACATCGCCTATGTGCCAGGCATCTTTGGTGATACAAAGTAATTTTACTTCTGCCCTTACATAATTCCATTACATATCCTCTTTTAATTCTAATTTTCCACTTCCATGACTCTTACTCAATCCTAGTTAGTTCTATGACAGGAGAAACAAAAGTTGTTTGATGTAGTAAAATCAAAGGTTTAAAATCTTAATAGTCCAGAGTAGCCATGTGATCTTTTTATATTACTTAAACCTCATGTCAACTTCAGTTTGCTCCTCATTTTAAAAAACAGATAATACTACCTAAAATAAAACTAGGCTTACGATCAAAAAAGACAATGCAGGAAGAATACTTAGTCCGATACCTTAAGTAAGTGAAGGTTCATGAATGAGTGTTATTTTGCAAATATTCCCCTCCTCATCTTTGAGATTGTTTTCAAAAGGCATAAGGATATGAGGGATTGACCCAGGGCCTTACCCACATTAAGCACTCTACCACTGTGCTACATGCCCAGCCTAAGATCAAATTTGACATCCTACCACAAATTATTTAAATCGTATTTTGAGAAATACTGAGAATGGAGAGAACATATGTTGCTGGCTCTGTGTTAGAAGTTAG